GATCGATTTTGGAATCTGAATTATCTTGACTGAATTATTGGGAGTGATAAGCATGAAAAGGCCTCCAGATCGATACAAGACCAGATATAAATTTCCTGAACAGTTGTGGATAAGAACTGCGGAAGGCGTAATTTCGAGGAAAGCTGTTTTAACTGTTTTCATCCACCAGTACATGCATAAAGGCTGATGCTGATGATGTGTCGTGTTGCAGGCTAATCATTGGACGAAATGCACCCAAATTCTACAGGCTACAACAACACTTCGCCGGGAATTCATGCATCCGAAGAAAGTGTTAGTTATGTTGCCACGTTGTACGAGACTTCAGAACTCCTTGCCATTTTCTCACTTACGCTTAGGCGGCAGCGCAGAATATGTGCTGTCATATGAAGCTGATGTCATTGGCTAAGGGGTCAGTTCACAGAGACAAATAAACGGCAGGCACAAGTCGCGTATGTAAAGCTCATACACACACGACGCTGGCCCTTTGCCAATACCTAATTTATTTTTGACGTTCAGGTCGATTTTTTCAGTAGAGCACAGGGCTTTCACGATTTTGGTCATTCCTCGTGAGGCGGCAAAGTGCAGAGGTGTGTCCTCCTCAAAGCTGTTCCGCTTGACGTTAGGATTGGCATTGCACGCGATAAGGTAAGCGACCACCTCTTCCAGGCGTTTTTGCACTGCCAGAAACAGCGGGGTCTGAAAAGGCTATTTGTCATCATGCGACGAAATCCTGCAAAACAATTGTTCTTGCCTCGTTCAACTTGTTCGGCAGGTCGAACGGAGGTGGCTCTTGGCCCTCTTTCTGTTTTATCATTAGTTCCGTCAATGCGTAGATCTTCGGGTAGTCCTTGTGCCACACGACAATGTGAAGCAAACTAAATCCAATGCAATTAAAGGCTAGAACAAGTCCAGTCGAAAAATTATTTATAAGGTATTGCTGAATTAAATAAAGTATATTAAGTTTCAAAATTTCTTCAAACTATTACTTACAAGTTCACAGACGATGTTCAACCCCGTACATTTCTGATGGGCTCATGCAACCCTTAATCTTTACTTCGACAAAACAGTATTTATATCATGTGTTTTTACAGTTTAAACGTACCGCGAAGTCTGTAATTCACACTTTTTCATTGGATAAATTGATAACAGCAAGTTTCGCCATAGGCAACGTTCACAGCCATGTAGCGGATGCATACCACAAAGAATTCGGGAAATATTGGCATCGTGAGGGTTGCTAATTTTCTAATGGCATTCAGCATTTTGAAAAATGAAAAATGGCGTTAGATTCAGCTGCGAAACTGCCTTGGAGACATGGTGGCAACAAAGTGATATAAACACGCCTTGTAAGTGCTATGAGAGGACCATGGCATCGATCGATCACCTGCTTAAACATAATAGTGTCTTTCTGTAGGCTCATCAACTCATGTTGACGTAGGAACTCTTGCCAGGACAAATTCTAAAATCAGCAGATAACCAAGATGAAGAAATCAACAAACATCTCATGCAAAATTGGGTAAACGCCATAATCAAAGACCTTGGTTTCATGGGAATGGTAGGCAAAACGATTTGCGGTGGAGACGCAAAAGGACTCATTATCTCCAGCAATACAACTGACACGTAGGCATCATAATGTAGTTACATGCAACGTTACGCAAACACCTTCTTTTAACTGCTAGTAAGATATCAGGTGAGCAAACACGAACTGAAAACGATAAATGTGCATGCATCAGACAGCACAGTCTCGCAAGCCTTGGCACTACCGTGCCAGAACACGGTGTTCTTCCTATAATTCACAGGTCAGCCATCTGCTACCCTTTTCTGGACTCGCCAAAAGCACAGAGAGGTGAATCCGTTGACCAAATGAATGATCAATTAACAAAGACGAATCTACACTGCATAGCACTTAGGTCTTGACACCGGCACCTCTGAAGTGAAAAGCAAACTAACAACAGACATCACCTCTGCTACCTGCCAATCGCCCCATAGCTATGTCAGGGAATGAAATACGACGTATGTTAAATTTACTGTTCGCACAACATCGTCAATGGACGAATAAAATGAGTAGAAGTTCTTCACAAAAGAAATTGAAAATTAAATGCTGCTGCTGAAACAAAAGTAATAAATGAACATGCTATTTCAAACATGCTACGAGAGCTGTTGTAGCTCAATGCTATTCGAAGCTCTCCGGGTCGTTCCTAAAGCACGACCCTCAACAAGACCACTGATGACAATTTGAAGACCAGTTCAGAATCGATACCAAAAATCTAGCAAAACTTTATTGACAAATCAAAACTTTTCTCCTGACGTACCTTACTGTCCATGTCCACTAATGTGGAAACCGAGTGGCAGCTCTTTAAGAGCGGCATACTCCAGGCTGCCGCGGATTTAAACGGATTGGCCCGCCGCCTGGAGTTCAGAAAAGACCGTCATAGTGGACAAGAGAGGTACAACTGGCAGTTAAAGAGAAGAAAGCAGCGTTCGAGAAATGGCTCGGAAACAAGGAGACGTCTACTTGCGTACGATATGTCGAGGCACGCAAGGCGCCAGCCACAGCAGTGGCAAAAGCCAAGGCTGATTCCTGGGAGAAGTTCGGTGAGGTGTTGGAGTCGAATTT